GTTGCCATTCTCTAAGACGGAGAGTTGGAACCACATGAGGCAGAACCATTCAAACCTTCACCTGTGCAATAGTTTTTCTCATCTTCTTCCAGATGTCTTATCAAATCGACTAAAGGACTCAGACCCATTTTCTCACTTGGTCTTCCTTCCATGCAGCATAGGTCATTTTCTGTGAGAGTACCGGTTTTCTTTACAATTACCATTTTAAGACATAGGCTCCAAAAATTGCCATTATTTTTTGTGAGAAATTACTCCCAAATACTTACCTATGGGCATGGGAGGAGGGGAAATGCCATTTATATAATGTAATTTTCAGCTTATGTTTATAGGTTGTAATTTTTAGCTTAGGTGTGCAGTTTGTAAGTTGTATTTCTTTGTATTTGTTATTAGTAGGAAATGTGAACTTCTACAGTCTGTATAAAATCCAGAAAGCTGAACATGGTACAATGCCCAAGAGATTCATGGAAAGGAACCAATCATGTACCAGTTAACTGGTTACCGGGACAACACTCCTTAACATTCCAGTGACTGACTGGATTTGCAGCTTCTATTAATGTACTCTCTCCAGGAGCCTCAAGAACATCCACATGAAATAACCTCTTCATTTAGAGCAGCGGTTCTCAACCTGTGGGTCACGACCCCTTTGGCGATCGAACGACCCTTTCACAGGGGTCGCCTAAGACCATCCTGCATATCAGATATTTACATTACGATTCATAACAGTAGCAACATTACAGTTATGAAGTAGCAACGAAAATAATTTTATGGTTGGGTCACAACATGAGGAACTGTATTTAAAGGGCCAGAAGGTTGAGAACCACTGATTTAGAGGCTCTCCACTGTCAGAGCTTCCTAAAGCACTAGTTGTGTCCCATGTAAGTAAGCAGAGTACCGGCTTCTGTGAATCTCAGCTTGCAACTTCAAGGCCAGGTGCAGAGATTAGCTTATGCCTGGAAAGCATGATAAATATTAGTTTGAAAGTGATATTCATTGAAGTTGACATTTGCTCTGGAAGGGTTCACTCACAGCTCTGATGTTTCAGATAAACTTGTGAAAGACTGAGTAGAGGCACACTTGCCAAGCAGGCCCAGCAGGTGCTCAGAAAAATCCTATTAAACACATGCAACATAATAAAAATGCTTGGTCTTTTTTATCACAAGAAATTTATTTTAGACTTGCAGAGGAGGGCAAGGCAGGAGGGTGGCCTTTCATCCAACCTATAAGTTATTTCAGATTCAAAGTTAGAATCAGGTGTAAGAACACAGGTTATTTTATGGAAGTGTGGGGAAAGCTATCAATTACTAAGAATAAAGAAAGAAAAAACAAGACCTTAGAAATACCATGAAAATAACACCTGACAGGTGAGAAGAAACTTTAAACTTAAAATTATAAGTAGGTCCTTTAATTCCTAGCTATTGAAGCAAGAAAAATCTAGGAAACATGATCTATTAATAAATGCAGCCTAGCCCTGGCCAGTGTGGTTCAGTTGGTTGAGCATCATCCTGTGCACCAAAAGGTCTCCAGTTTGATTCCTGGTCAGGGCACATGCCCAGACTGCAGGTTCGATCCCCAGCCGGTCGAGGTGCATACAGGAGGCAACAGATATATGTTTTTCTCTCACATTGATGTTTCTGTCTCTCCCTCCCCACTACCTTCCTCTCTAAGAAAAAAAAAAAAATCAATAAAAAGATATTTTAAAATAACTAAACACAGCCTATTACCCAAAGCCCCCTGTTGCTTACTAGATGTTACTCTTTGTATATTACGATAAATGAAGATGAAATCAGTATCCTTATTAGTGGAACACAGAATTGGTTTTCCTGCAGTGACTGAGTCTGCTGAACTATTGTACACTCTCATTTCTATGAGTGTTGCCATAAAAGTTTGACAATCGGGCAGATTGGAAAGTTTTCTTCAGCCAAGTTGAACTAACCTATCTTCAATTCAACAGTGACATTTGGGCCTCATCAGCACCACGTTTCCACCACCTGAAGACAGTGGCACACATAAAACTGGCATTGTTGCTTATCCTTCCCCATACCTTGGGGAGAGGAGATGACTGTTCCAAGCTAAGTATAATACAATTAGCTGAAAACATCTACAAACACCAAGACAACCATCACACAGGCAATCCGTTGCAGAACTCGGACTCCCCTTCCCCAGTCCACACCTCTTCAGGTGTGCCTGTGGGAGCACAATATAGTCTTACTTTTACCCATTATTTTAAGTTCATATCAGTTTACCTATCCATCCTCTGATCAGCTCTCGCATCAGCTACTACTCATATAAGTACCAAACGCTCTCAAAGTGCTAGATGCTTACATACATTATGTCAAATTCTCACAAGCAGCACTGGATACCTAAGTATCACAATTAGGCTGCATTATCCAGATGGACTGAACAGGGAAACACATCCAAAGTGGCCTGTCCAGGGCCACACAGCGAAGTGAGAGGCAGAGCTAGGACCAAACCCAGGTCTGCCTAGTTCTGAAGCCCATGCTCTTTCCACAAAACCACACAGCACTGCCGAAGAACCTTAGAATATTAGGTGTGGAAGGAACCCTATACAACAGCTGCCTTTTTTAAAAAATATATTTTATTGATTTTTTTACAGAGAGGAAGGGAGAGAGATAGAGAGTTAGAAACATCGATGAGAGAGAAACATCGATCAGCCGCCTCCTGCACATCTCCTACTGGGGATGTGCCCGCAACCCAGGTACATGCCCTTGACCGGAATCAAACACGGGACCTTTCAGTCCGCAGGCCGACGCTCTATCCACTGAGCCAAACCAGTTTCGGCCAACAGCTGCCTTTTATTAAAAATCCTTACCTCATCTTCTTACCACAATCGAGTAGTGCTGGTTCAGGATAATGAAATAAGAACAAATATGAGACTTGTCCAAGGCTGTAGGTTGGTAAACACCTAATATGAGATTTATACTGAGGTCTATTTAATTCCAAGTTGGTGTTCTTTTGACCAAGACCTCGAAAAAAATCGCAGTGGCCCCTTAGTACTCAACAATTCAACAGCATGCTATTTTTAGAGGAAACTGTGATGGGCTGAGTACGGCCACAAGAAACTTATGGTGCCACTAAACTCACAGGATTTCAAACCTGGAAGAGATTAGAGAGCGTAGTGCTGTCCTCAAGCCTCATCATTTTGCAGATGAGAAAACTGAAGGTCAGAGAGATTGCAAATCATCCTTGAAAAAAGGATTTGAAGCAACAGGGAGAACACTGAAAGGCCATTCCAGGTGAAGAGTATATACAGCAGAAAAGCAAGCACAGAGGTCAAATGAGCATGGTGTGTGCTTGAACCAGAATAGATAACACGTACTCTGCAAGAAAGAAAAAAATAAATAAGACACCTCCATTAAGTTGAGTGCCCAAAGGAAATAGCTCCTTTTGTGTAAAAATAAAAAAGTTTAAAAATAAAAGGCTTTTCTAGTCCATCTTCCCATTTTGATCTAATGCCTATCCCTACTATCACACTTATTTAACTTTACCTAATATTTGACAAGAATCTCTGTGCTGTAGCCAAATTCTCTTTTGATTTTGTTTGTTGCCATTACCGTGTCTGTACTAAAGTATGTGAACATGGATTAATACATTTTTCTACCCAGTGTCTTCTCACCCAAAACTTACTTTGCTTTTCCTTGCTTTTATTTCTTTTCTACCCTTTGGCTTAGAACACTCAATGCCTAACAGCAAGATTAAACAAATCTCTGTATAAAACTCAGAGTTTACAGTAATTGTTATTTTACTCCAAATGGTACCAATTAAACCACAAAAGCTCAAAGAATACAGCCTCTGACATCTTATTTTAAAATGTGGTTATGCCATTAATTAATATGCTATAAAGAAATGCTGGTCACAGACCAAAAATGGAGTTCAACAGTCTGAGTTTCTGTAAAGAAGACTTTAATAAAATTCTTCTCAAGGTAACAGTTTCGGAGTAGAAAGTTTTTAAACACTTTAAAGTACTCAATAAGTTTTATTTCCTAATCACAAATGCTAAAAATTAACACACATAATTCACTTATGCTGGGTGTGCAATAACAGAGGAAGAAAAGTAACAACGATTATAAAACTCTCAGAAGTCAAAGTGCTTCCTTTCACTAGAGTCAGGCAGACTTCCACAAATGTGAGGCTCCAAGTTCAGGTGCAGGGGAGAAGTTAGCGCTGGGATACTGCCACCCTGGAGAAAAATCAAGTCCCCAGCTTATGTATCAAGCACATGGCTGGGGCATGGCATTTAAAAACTCCCTACAATGTCTGGGTGGGAGCTGACGGCGTTCCTTCCAGTGGTCTGAAAAACTGCAATCCTATCTCAAGCCCTATCAGGCTGGCAGGCACCGGTCCTGAAGCAACTGGGCCTCGTCCAGAACCAAGGCCTGACGGGCCACAGAGGAGGTGCCTGGGAAAGACGAGATGTCGAGTGAAATGGAAGGAGGGAAAAGCCAAAAGTCACCCGAGGCCAAAAAAGTCTCTGATGGAGGGGTGTGTGGGTGTGTATGTGCTGGGGAAATGGGTGGCATGAGATCAAGAGTACTAAATGACAGAACAAATAAAGGGTTCCTTAAAAATGCCACTTGGCCCCAAGAGAGGTAATGTGGGCAGTGCACAAGCAAGGTCCGGGTCCTGAACCCAGGAGAAATAAGACAAGCCCCATTTCACAGATGGGTACAGTGAGGCAGGGGTTTCAAATTAAGTCCCACAACGAGTGAGCAATGCAGTCAACACTATACTGTAAGCCTCTGGAGGATCTAAATCAACCTGGCACTCCCCACCCAGCAGTGCTCAGCACTTGGCACACAACCGGATCACAGCTCTGAATGAACGTCCCAAGTCTTGAAACTTCAAGCTTCTTTGCAGAAAACTCGGCTTCGGGCCAGACAACACTGGGGGCCAGGACGAGGGGAACCAGGCTGAGCGGGTCCCGGGAAGGTCGGAGGTTTGGGGTCCGAGTACTGGCCCTCCGCCCGCCCACTGTCACTCACCCGGATGCCCTTCACCACGGTGATGTTCTCATTCTCGTCCGCCTCGAAGGTGACCCGGCGTGTGCTGGAGGCCCCGCCCATGGCTGCTTCTGTCCCTGCAGAGCCCCTAGCGCGGACCCCCGAGCACTTCAGGCTCCACGCGCACACACGCGCGTGGACGTACCCGGACGCTTGCCTCGCACGGCGGGAGCAAGGCCGCGACCCCAAGTAGCAAGGAGAAGGCGCGGGTCCTCCGCTCCCACCTCCTCCGGTCACGCTCCACAACGAAATGCCTCCGGTTGGTGGGAGATACAAACGGCCCGCCTCTACTCTGAAGGGACACCCGGATTGGTTGTTCCGGACCCGGATGCTATGGCAACAGGTGGTGTTTGACAGGGTTTCCGGAGCCCCTGGGTATAGTGGGAATTGTAGTCTCGATCTGGCGCCAGGGGTGCCGGGACAGCTCGCCCTTAATCTGGACTGGAGAGTGCCAGGGGAGTGTGGCATTCTGGGAGTTGTGGTCCTCACTGCCCCAAAGGCTTCTAATGGGGCAACTTCCCAGGAAGTTCATTCTACTAGTAACTACTGTCAACATAAGAGGCTTCTAATGGGGCAACTTCCCAGGAAGTTCATTCTTCTAACTACTGTCAACATAACAAACATCCAAACCTGTAGGAATTTTTATGACTTTATTTGAGCCAAACTGACGACAGTCGCTGGGAAGCAAAATCTCAACAGAGTGAGGAAATGCTCAGGAGAATGACAATTTTGCAGTTTATTTTACACATTATAATCAAAGGAGGAGACGTAAGGAGGGTACATGAAATTCATTAGTGGTAGATTAGGGAGGTGGGAGAAAGCAAAGAGAGGAAATGTCTGGGACTGGATAATGAGTTAAATGAAGAAATAAATACTTCTTTTCATTAGTGCATACAGGATAGTTAACATTTACAGCACATAGAGATGGTATCAGGGAAGAAGGTAACAATGAGGGGTTCTGTGATCTCCTCCTCTGATGGGAGATTGTGCCTTTAGAGGTCTGGAAAAGAGGGGGATTACACTAACATTCCAAAGGTATGTTATTCTAGATGCAAAAAGACAATAGACAGGCTCAATTAAGGTAAAGATTTACCTTTGTCAAGAAAGATACTGGCCTACGACATGACTATCCACCGTGACTTGATTTTAGTTAAGAAGATTTACTTTCAGACCATCTTATGTGGCTACTTGAAGTCCCTGAGTTTGTGAAGTCCACCATACAGGCCTCCCCTGAGTATATCAGGTTTACTATCTTCAGTACCTTTCAACATTAAAAAGCAGTCAGCCACAACACAGCATGGAATCCACTTCTTCCAAAGATACCACAAAAAAAGCAGTAACATTTTCCATCTCCAATTATGCGCTGATTTATTACTCCTGGAGTCTGCAGGACAGAGACTGTTTTTTTCATATCTGTATTCCTAATCAGTAGCAGGGTATTGGATTTATTATTGCACATCATCATTTTGTTATTTTCAACATACATGTATGCAAATTGTATTGTGCTCCTTTGCAGTTCTGAGACTACATGCTATTTTGTACGAGTTCTCAAGTTGTACAATATGTTTTAACCTTTGTTCTACAGGGAAGTAAAAATCCCAGAAATGATGTCTTTTGTTTCTTTGGGACCTCCCCTCCACAAACAACACCCTTTACACTTATTACCCCAATAGTACAGCACTTCTTGGAGGTTCTACATAAAACAGGTGCTCAAGAAATTCTTACCAAAATAATCAATTACAAAGGAAAGAGTTCCCTGGGGAATACAGAGACAACAGAACCACTATATATTTTAAATATATTTATTTCCTTATACTATTAAATGTGTTCATTCAACCAAATACATATGATGAAGGCTAATCATGAATTATAGTGTGGTGCCTTCACTTTTTATGACACAGAAACATGTAAATGGTCTTATCAAGTAATCTAAAAGTACTTTAGAGATGCAATGCAGTATTTTTAACTATAGTGGATCTTGAAAGTCCTCATCACAAGAAAAAAATTGAAACTATGTATGAGGACAGATGTTAGCTAGATTTATTGTGGTGATCATTTCACAATATATACAAGTATAGACTCATGATGTTGTATACCTGAAACTAATGTGTATATGTCAATTATACATCAATTAAAAAATAAAATAAATAAAAATGCTTTAGGCCTTGGTGTGGCTCAGTTGGTTGAGCATCTTCCTGTGCACTCACAGGTCGCCATTTGGATTCCTGGTCAGGGCACGTGTCTGATTTTTTGGACTTGATCCCCAGTCAGCATGCATGTAGGGATGGAGAGAGGGAAGCTGATTGATGTTTCTCTCTCTCTCTCTCCACCTCTCTTTTCCTCTCTCTCAAAAAAAATTCAATAAATACATATTTTTAAAAATTACTTTAGAATTCATAATCTATTACAACCAACAAACAACAAAGAAAACTTCTGAATTTTTAAAAAAAGATATATCTTCTTATAAAAAATGCCTAATATAACAATATTGTTTTATCAATTTCAAAGTCAGGCCTACAGCCCCTCCTAAAGAAAACATGTTGCAATACCCAGAACCTATACTCTCTCTGACCACAGCTTATTAATGATCCTCTAACCAGCGGTTCTCAACCTGTGGGTCGTGACTCCTTTGGAGGTCGAACGACCCTTTCACAGGGGTTGCCTAAGACCATCTTGCATATCAGATATTTACATTACGATTCATAACAGTAGCAACATTACAGTTATGAAGTAGCAACGAAAATAATTTTATGGTTGGGTCACAACATGAGGAACTGTATTTAAAGGGCCAGAAGGTTGAGAACCACTGCGTCCCAAAGGCAACATTTATTTACCAGAGAGCTATGAGCTAGAATGCAAACTTTGCTCAAACAAAAATCATAGCTAACACTTGAGCCAATCTGAGTTTCTAGTTTTTTTTCCCCTTTTTTGTATCTCTACTTAAACTTGAAAATTTAGAACATACAAAAAGATAGGAAACAGAGAAGGTATGATACTGACTCAGAAACATGAGGCATTGTAGGAAACTAAAGATAGGTGGAAGCATAAACTATAAGAAGAATAAAAGACTTCCATTAGAAAAGAAGTAAAATTATCTCTATTTACAGATGATGTGTCATTAAAAATAGAAAAATCCCAAGAAATCCACTAAAAAACTATTAAAGCTAATAAAAACAACTTTACCAAGGTGCAAGATACAAGATCAACATACAAGAATTAATTGTATTTCTATATACTAGCAATTAACATGCCAAAATTAAACTAAGAAATTCCTTTATGATAGCATAAAAGCAATTCAAATATCCATTAGCTGATGACTGTATACACAAAGTGTAGTATATCCAGACAATGGAATATTACTCAGCAATAAAAAAGAACAAAGTACTGACATATGCTAGAATATGGATGAACCTCAAGGATATTATGCAAAACAAAAAATAAGCCAGACACAAAAATCCACATATTGTATGATTTCATTTAGATGAAATGTTCAGAATGGGCCAATGTATAGAAAATGAAAGTAGTTTAGGCTTGCCAAGGGCAGGAATAGGGTGAGATGAGGAGTTACTCTAGTTGGCACAAGGTTTCTTTTTTTTTATTGGGGGATAAAAAACGGTCTACAATTAGATTATGGTGATAATTGCCTAACTCTGTAAATATACTAACACCCATTGAATTGCACACTTAAAATGAATGAACTTGTTGACATGCAAATTACATATCAATAAAGCTGTTGAGGAATGCATAGCTATCCAACCATGATAGAAATTAATTTATCATTTAATAAAGTCCAAAATAGGGTGCTTTTTTTCTTTAGGAAAAAGGAAGAAAAGAAAACGTGAGAAGTTAGAGGTGCTAAAAAATAAGCCAGTGGAAAGGGAGACTAGAATAAATCAGACATTCATGAATTAGCATAGTCCTACAAGTCAAGGAGCACTGAAGTGAAGACCCACAGCTCCAGAAGCTTCTGGAATTGCCTAGAACCGAGAAAGGCCTTCCAACCTTACTTTTCATAATGGCCAGTTCTGTCGAGGCACCTTGTCTTCCTGAGGTTCAGCTGTTCTGTGTTTCCTAGGTTCTGAGACACAGGTGACCTCACTAAAGAATCTTCCTAATCACATAAGGCCTACCCAAATGTCTACAGCAATGATACAACATATTTTCTCAGTCTCCAGTTAAGAAACCAGCACTCTAAGTAAAAAGAATGAATATCAGCAGTTAACTTTGATGCAGGGCAGAGAACTAACTGAGCAGTAATTTGATTCTTCACAAATCTTAGTTTGGCCATTGAGCAGTATTACCTTGAAACTCCTTCACCCTGAGTAATTTCATGCTTTCCCACCATGCTAGTGATTGGAATTAATGGTGCAAACAAATAAACAAATGCTTTTGCTGTTAAAATGCCAATCATCTCCAATTTCCCCCGTCCTTGAAAGAAATCCAACTAGACTTCTAAATCACTCTAACAAGCAATTCCAGAAGTCTCAAGGTAGGAAGAAGGTTTTCACTACATACTCTGTTTTTCAATCCCAACTTTTTTTCTTTAATTTTTATTTATTGATCTGTGTGTGTGTGTGTGTGTGTGTGTGTGTGTGTGTGTGTGAGAGAGAGAGAGAGAGAGAGAGAGAGAGAGAGAAACATAAATTTTTGTTGTTCCACTTATTTATGCATTCATTGGTTGATTCTTATATATGCCCTGACCAGGGATTGAACCTGCAATCTTGGTGTATCAGGATGATGCTCTAGCCAACTGAGCTACCTGGCCAGGGCCTCAATCCCAACTTTAAACAAAAGTTTGCCAAATGCAAAATCCTAGTGATCCCCCCTCTACCCTTTTCCTGATATACTAGCTGGAAGTGTAGGAAAAGATGTGTGAGAAGGAGGAGTAACAACAGAAAGACCATGACCTGCGTGATGAGGAACCAGGGAGGAGAGCCCTGGGTCTGGTCCCCAGCTAGAAAAGCTAATCAGTGTGTCGCTTACCCTCACCCCAGCTCTTTTCAGTAGCATTTAAACTGCACAATAGAGCACTCTGACCTGTGCTGAAATAGAATATAGATATAATGATCATGCTACATGAGCTAAAAATTGGAGCACATGCTCTGACTATTACTTATGTACTTATAGAGACAATTACATCAGTCCTTGAAATCAGGATCATCCTAGAAAATCTAGGACATATAGTTGCCATAGTTATAGCAAACCAATTAAAATCACTGACAAGTGCTCCGTAGGTAGCGCACACA